CTCTCTCTCTCTCTCTCTCTCTCGCTCTCTCCTGCTCCCTCTCGCTCATAGCTCCCCGCCCCCGGCCGGCTTTGATGTCGGACCCTGCATCCGTCGCGGCTCCTGTCAGTGTGGATGCCCAGCCTGCGATGCCCCCCCCGGCCGCGGGTGCTCCCGCCCTCGGACGCAAGCCCGCTTCCGCCGCCCCCCCGACGGCAGCTCCCTCCGAGCGTGCCCCGGAAACCGCGCCGGCTGCGGTGGCCCATGCTGCCAGCCGCAGCAGCACCAGCACCGCCACCGCCACCGCCACTGATGGCGTGTCTTCCCCGACGAAGCACCACGGGCCTCGTGCGGCGGCGATCACCGGCGGCAGTGCTGCCGCCAGCAACGCGGCCGTCCGCCAGCCCCGGCCTGTCGGCGCTGGTGCCGTTAGTCCTGGCGGCTCTGCCGGCACCAATGCCGGTCCCGTTTCGCCGACCAAGCCGGCCCGTGCCAAACGCACTACCGCCGGCCAGGCTGCCGCTGACCCCGGCACCGCGTCCCCCGTCCCGGGGCCCGCCGCCACTGGCGCCACCACCCCGAGCAAGCTCCCGACCGGTGATGCGGCCAAGTCCCCGGCTCATGGCCCTGGGTCTCGGCGTGGTGGCAAGCCGGCCGGCGATGCTCCGGGCTCGGGAGCCAGTGTCCCGAGCCCCGGCGCTGGGTCCTCGTCCACCAGCGCCCCGGCGCCGGGCTCCACCCCCACCAAGGGGGGCAGCGGTGGTGGCTTTCAGCGGAATGGCAGCAAGCGTGCGGCCGGTGCCACTGCCAACGCCCAGGCGCCGTTGACTGCTGCCTCGGGTGGCTCGGCCGTCGGGGGCATGATGCTCCCTCCCGGGTCGGTGCTCCCCCCCCCGGCCGGCGGGTCGATGGGCTACATCATGCCGATGTACCCGGCCCCGGGCCCTGGCCACTCGGGTGCCAACTTCAGCTACTCCTACCAGCCGGTCCTGCAGTACTACATCCCGGTGACCGCGGCCACGGCTCCTCACGCCGCCTTTTCCGGCCAGCAGCACACCGGCCCGGCGGGCGATGCTGGCGCCTCGCCACTGGGGGCCGGGGCTTCTCCCCCTGGGGCCGGCACGTCGCCCGGATCCGAGGCCGGGGCTCTGCTGTCTGGCCCGGATGCCGGGGCCTACTTTGGCCATATGGCCGGGGTTCCTGACGGATCTGGCCCGTCTGGCGGCAACCACATGTTTGCGGCGGCGGCGGCGGCGGCGGCGGCTGCGGCCGCGGCCGCCACTCCCATGCATGGGTACATGTTCGCCACGCCGCAGGCTGGGGCTGCGGGCCCCGCCGGCGGGGCCCCGGGCGCCGGCGCCATGCCGATGCGCGTTCTCCAGCCGGCCGGTGCCTACCACCCGATGCACATGTCCCCGGTGGTGGGGGGCCCCTCGTCCGCTGGCGGCGATCTTGCCGGTGGTAGCGGCTCGCCCGGTGCCGGGTCCCCGCCCGGTGGTGGCAATTCCCCGGCCCCGGCTGCTGGTTCTGTTCCGGAGGCCGCCGCCATGCAGCCGGTCAGTGGTCTTGTCCCGGCGGCACACTTCTTCCACCATGCCGGGCATGCTGGCATGGATGCCGCCTACCTGCCGGAGTACTATGGCGGCGGCGGCGGCGGCGGCGGCGGCGGCGGCGGTAGTGGTGGCGGTGTTGGCACTGGGGCCGCTCCCGCTGTCGGTGGTCCTTCCGGTGCTGGTGGCCACGAGTATGGCCTCAAGCCGAGCGATGGGATGGATTTCCTGGCGGCGGCCGCCGCCACCGGCGGCCCCGGCGGCATGGTCATGCTGCCGCACCACCACCATCATCCCCATGCCGCGCACCACCCCCACCCCCATCATCCCCACGCGCAGTACTATGCCGCCGCGCCGGGGGCCTCCGCCGCCGCGGATCATCTTCCTCAGCAGCCGCACCACATGCACCACATGCATCACCAGCAGCAGCTCCCGCCGCAGATGGTGCGCCAGCTGTCTGATTTTTTTTCCCCATTTCTCTCCCTCTCTCTCCCTCCCCTTTGTGTTTCCCCGTGCCAACGGACGAGACGACTCACTCCCGCTGTGTCTGCCACCTTCCCGTTCGCCCTCCCTCCTCTGGTAGATGTCCCCGTACTACATCCCGTCGCAGGGTGCCCAAGCTGGCAACCGTCACACCGGCAAGGAGCCCGCCACCCCTTCCGACTCCTCTTTTGTTCATGTACTTCCTCTCACACCGACTCTGCCTTTGTACGATGCCTCGCGCCAGGACCTGCCTCTAACTGAAGCCCCTCTCGTCCCCTCCCCCCGCCCCCCCCCCCTGCCTCGCTTCGCCCTCCCTGCTCGATGGCCCTCCTCGCACTCAGTAGAGCTCGTCCTCTCCCCCTGGGTTACCCGCCCGTTCTCGACCCGGCAAGCACCGCGCTGCGCCACACTGAAATGCCGCTCCCGGGGACTGTACCTGATCAGAGCGCGGGCCTCTCTCCTCCCTTGTGATCCTGTCTCCTCCTTCGAGCCCCCTTCTCCCCATGGGGCCATGCTGGCAGATCGCGCTGATTAGTGCAGTTCGATCGGCCTCCCCTCCCCTCCCCCCTCCCTTGCCTTCATTGCCCTCCTCATTTCCCCCCACTGCGCACGCATGCAGTGGTGGAGGGCCTCGCGGGAAGGTTCTTCTTCACAGTCCTCCCTTTTGCGCCCCTACTCCCGCTGGTCGTGGCCCTTTCTTGCGTCCCTGCGCCCGTCTCTGCGGGGAGGGCCACCAACTTACAAAAAAAAAAAAAAACCTTCAAAAACCGGCATTGTCGGCCATCTTTTCGTCGGGTGCTTCCCACACACACGCACACACACACACCTGCCTCTGCTCAGCGCGGCGGTGTATTTGGCCCGCGATCCTGAGGCCCCCCGCTCTGCCGAGCTCTGTCGCGCATTGCCTACTCTTGATCTTCCACCGTCTCTATCATCATCATCATCATCATCTCCTCTCCTCCTTTCATTCTCTCTGCCCTTGGTCAGAGGAGCGCTTGGGCGCCATGCGCATCGGGCCCTACCATCATCACTCCATTTCCTATCTCCGGCGCCGGCGCAGCTCCTCATCACACTGCACGCACCTCCCCCCCCCCCCCCTTCGACCGCACTCCACTGTCCTTGTTCCTCCACCCACCTCACACCTTCTCCCAGTCGATAGATAATAGACTTCCGCGCAGAGTCGATCGCATGATGCCTTGACAGGGGTGTGTGTGTGTGTGTGTGCCTGTTGTGACATTTGGCGAGGGGGGACTCTCAAAGGTAAGATCAAGATGCGGCATAAAGTGGTGATATGGGCGCCGATGGCAGGGGCCGAATATGGCGGCATCAACGCTTGGGGTGACGCGGGGGGCGCAGAAGAAAACTTTGTCCTGACCCCCCACACGGCTGGGGGAGATGCACATATGAATTTCAAGAGATATATTGGTCTTCAAATGGAAAGGGAAAGTGGAGGAGGATGGGGGAGGATAGAGACAGGAGGGAAGTAGCAAGCGGTGGATAGCGTGCACGCGCGCGCGCGCGTGTGTGTCCGTTTGTGTGTGTGTGTGTGTGTGTGCGCGCGCGCGCGCGCGCGCAGGAAGAAGAGAGAGGGATCTATGATGAACTGCCCCTGGCTCTCTTACATGTCGACGGGCTCGTCTTCCCCCTCGTCACCAGTGACCGATAGGGAGGATGGTCCATGCAGGGACCGGACGAAGCCGGCCACGTCATACTCATCGCCATACTGGTTGGCCGTAGAATCCCAGAGATTGGCCATGGCCAGTGCGGCCGGCGAGCCGGCCTCGGCTGCAGCGGCCCCACCACCACCCAGGGTCAAAGCATCCACCAGGTGGTTGCTCGGGTCGGAGCCAGCGGTGGCGGCACCACTCGCCTGAAGGGCGGCCGCCGCGTCGGCACTGTATCGGGAGAGGAGGCCCCACCGGCAGCGCCGACAACGTCCAGCCATGGGAGAAATGACCCAATCAGCAGGATATCGCATGGTGGTCAGCAAGACGCTCTGAGAGGAAGCCGAAAAAGAGATGCACGACAGGGGGAAAAAAAAACCCCAAGAGTGGAGGGCGGGGGGAGGGGGAAGAGGAGGACACAAAGGAGGGTGCCCCCGCCTTGCCAGCCACTCTTCCCCGCCATTGAGGCAGGACGCACCTCGAGGTCTCGAACATGTCGAATAGCTGCTCGGTGCCCATGGTAGCAAGGCCCTTGTTGTCGGCACCGACGATGGAATCGGCCACGGCGATCTTGAAGCGCTGCAAGCCCATAATCCGGTCTTCCAGACTGTTTCGCGTCAGCAGACGGTACACGTGCACGGCGCGTGTTTGCCCCAACCGGTGGGCTCGGTCCATGGCCTGCAGATCCCGGTGGGGGTTCCAGTCGTGTTCGACGAAGATCACCGTGTCGGCCCCGGTCAAGTTGAGACCCTGTCCACCGACCGATGTGGTCAGCAGCAGCAAGTCGATCGACGGGTCGCGGTTGAAGCGCGTGACCATGCGCTGGCGGGCCAGCGGCTCGACCGATCCATCAAGGCGGAGCCACGAAACCGAATTGCCCATTGGCTGCCAGCAGAAAAGGGGGGGGAGAGGATTGGCGAAGAGCGAGATACTCCCATGTGCAGTGGGGGGGGGGGGGGGACTCTCTACCGGGTATCCCAAACACACACACACACAGACAGACAGGCAGGCAGGCAGGGAGGGAGGAGGCATGGGAGGGCAGGAGGCACACACCTTCAGCACATCGCGCTCGATGATGTCAATCATCGATGTCAGCTGACAGAAGACCAGCGCGCGGTGGTTGCTGACGATTTCTCTGTCGAGGAGGGGATGGCCACACGAGAAGCCACATGGAAAGAAGCAGGGAAGAGGGCAGGGGCGACAAAGCCCGGTCTCAGTATCAAGGCAGGAGGGGAGGGGAAGCTGTAAAGCAAGGCAGGGGAAAAACAGCCACATTGGGGCTCGAAAAGAAAGCCAAACGCACCCCACAGTGGCGGAGGAATCTTCCGAAGCGGTGAGCGCATCACTCGGGCTGGACACCGACGCATCGCCATCCGGGTCACCGCCGGCCGAAGTGGTGGCCGTGCCGATGCCACACTGAAGCAGCAGGTCTCGCAGTGCCAGCAACTTCGGGCCAATGCGCAGCGAGTCGCCCGGCAGAACCGAGCCATCCGCCTGGCGGGGAACCTGCAAGCCCAGGGGCTCCAGGAGTTGGCGTTCGGCTTGGCGAGCCGCCGCACACTGGGCGGCAGGCGCTCCGGCTGGCGGGTCCAGCGCCAACAGCGGATGCCCCAGGATCTTGCGCATCTGGTGCAGGGCCTGGAAGACGTGCTGGCGGCCGGCCGGGCCGGCATCCGAGCCGCCGCCGCCGCCGCCGCCGGCAGCAGCGCCCGCGCCACCGGCCCCGGAGCCCGCCTCATCCACCACGGCAAGAGCCGACGCCAGGGCATCCCGGCCGCCGATGGCCGCCAGGCAGGCCGAATAGATGGCCCGCTGAAGGGGACTCATGTCACAGGTGACATCCTGGATGGTTTTCGGCGGGAGGTCGTGCAGCACATCGGCCTTCATGCGTCGCATCAGGAAGGGCAGCAGCTGGCGGTGCAGGCGGTTCAGCGCACGCGCGGCTGCCTCACCGGCGGCGGTGCCCTCGACCGCGGCCAGGCCGGAGGATTCGACACTTTCAGCGGCAGCGGCAGCCCCGGGCTCCGGGCCGAGCTCCGCACCGGTCACGCCCGGCCCGGAGTCCAGGCCGGTCGATGCTGGGCCGGTCGATGCTGGGCCGGCGGCCGTGGCCGTGGATGAAGTAGGCAGAGCGACAGCCGCACCGGCCGCCGCGGCCGCCGCAATGGCCCGGCCATACCGCTCGCGGAATTGCCGCTCCGTGCCCAGGAACCCTGGCATCAGGAAATCAAACAGTGCCCACAGTTCACCGACGTGGTTTTGCACCGGCGTGCCGGACAGGATGAGTCGATGCTCGGCCGTGGCCCGGCCATACTGGCGAATGACGGTGTACAGGCGCGACCGAGCATTCTTGATCATGTGTCCCTCATCGAGGACACAATACAGCAGAGGCCCCATGGCGGCGGCCAGCTGTGGCGCATCATTCCGGAAGACATCGTACGACACGATCAGGACCACGGCCTCGGCCGCGGTCCGGGGCGTCAGCAGCCCGGCCCCGAGGATCCCCCGGCGCTCGGCCGCGGTGCCGGAATACACCACAGGGCGCAGGTCCCGCGCATACTGGGCAATCTCCTGCTCCCAGTGCCCAAGCACGGAGGAGGGGCAGATGACCAGCGACCGGCGCAGGGCCGCCGTCCCGCCAGCGGCCACGGCCTCCGCATGGGCCCCGGCCAGGATGCAAATGGTCTGCAAGGTCTTCCCGAGACCCATGTCATCACACAGCACCCCCCCAAGCCCATAGCGCTTGAGGAATCCCAACCAATTGAGGCCATCCTGCTGATAGGGCCGCAGCTCGGCCCGAATGGCCCCGGCCGGCAGGAGGAACGGCTCGATGGTCGACGGATCCAGCAGCTGGGCCAGGAAAGTCCGGTCATTGAGCAATTGCGCCGCCAAGCCGGCATCCAAGCCGGGGGTTGTGGTGGCCGGACCGGCGGCGGGGGCCGCGGCCGATCCCGGCCCCAGCCCCCCGAAGAGGCTCCCCTCCAGTGGCAGCATGCGCAGGAGATCGGCGAAGGCCGCCGCGCAAACGGCCCGCGTGTCGGCATCCGGGTCGCTCATGCGCGCCATCACCGGCCGCAAAAGCAGCACCGCATACGGGAGCACCGCCAAATCCAGGCGCTGGACCACCAGCCGCACGGCCTCGGCCGCGCCCTGCCGGTGCGCCGGCACCCGGCTGTCCGCCAGCAGGGGAGTCACCCGGCGCACCAGCAGCGGGACACCACGCACCGGGCAAGCCGAGCAATAGGCCGCCAGCGCCGCGGCCGCCTGGGTCCGGACGAAGGACGACCGGCTGCGCAGGGCCGCGGCCACCAGCCGCGCCAGGGCATGCACCCGACCGCCGAAGTCCAAAAGGTCGGCCTCCGTGTGCTGGCCATTGGAGCCCCGCTCGCCGAGCAGCAGCTTGGCCACCTGCCGGAGGATGGGCCTTCCAGCGTCGACCACCAGCTCGAACAGGCCGATGGCCGTCAGCAGGGCCGTGTCATCGCGCGAGGCATCTTCCGCCTGCTCGGCCGCCAGGACCGGCAAGTCCAGCGTATTCAGAGGCCGGTCGGCCTGTCGGCACAGGGCGCGGAAGAATTCGCCATCGGCCGGCGGATTGGCGGCGGCCTCCTCGCCGATGGCAGCCGTGCTGGCAAAGCGCTCCGCCAGCGGCCCCTGCAGGGTACGCCACAGCCAGGGCAGCCGCCGGAAGAGCGACGGCCCGAACATCTGGGCCACCAGAGCGCGGAAAACCGCCCGCGTGCCCCGCCGCAGGGTGCTGATGCGGGACCGCTCGCGCGCGGCCACTCGCTCCTGGTCGGTCACCTGGGCCCGCTCCGGGCCCGGGAGCCGCGACACATAGTCTTCCCAGGCTTTGGTCCCGGCGGCCATGTCTTCCGGGGCGGGATTGCGCGTGGCCACACTCCGCCAGTGGGCCGTGGCCACGGCTTCCCGGTGGGGCAGGACCCCGCGATCGGTCGGGTCAAAGCGCCGAGCCGCAGCCGGCACGGCCAGAGCCCGGGCCAGGGCCGCCAATTCCGGCAGCCGCCCGAGCGGCCGCGGGGGAGGGGCATCCGGGTCGACCGGCTCGGCCCCGGGGCTGGCGAGGGCCGCCCCCGCCGCCGGGGCATCCAGGAATTGCGACAGCGGGCCAAGCCCGCCCAGGCCACCGAGACACACCGGGGCCCATTGGTAGGTGGCCACGCCGAGGGTCAAGCTGCGGAGGATGCGCGCGGCCGGGGACCGGTCATCGTCGGATGCCGGGCCCCCCCCCGGGCCGGCTTGCTGCTCGGCGCGCTCGACCAGCACCCGGATCAGGGCCGCCGTGGCCACGGCGCTCCGGCGCTGGAGCAGGGCCGACTGCTCGCGCTTGCAGGCATCCACCAGCGGCCGGACGGCCGCCGTCACACGGCCCTGAGGGAAGGCCGCGGCTGCGGCCCGGCCCGGGCCGGAGACCAGCTCCGCATCCCCGGGCGCCGTGGCGCCGGGTCCGGCCAGCACCCGCATGGCCACCTCGGGGGTTGCCCATGCCGGGGGCAGGCCCCCGCCAAGGGCCCCGGGCTGCGCCACCGGGGCCACCAACAGCGACACACATGTGGCCGCGGTCAGCCCGCGCACGGTCTCCTCCAGCCCGGACGTGGATTCCAGGTAAAGATTGATCACGGCATCGACCATGCGCCGACGTCCGTCGAGCTCCTCGCGCACGAGCTGCGACTCGCGCTCCGTTCGCCGCGGCGGCACCAGCCCCAGCAGCTGGGTGTAGGTGTGCTCGGAAATCAGCCCCCGGGCCAAGTCCAGCGTGAAGACATCCATGCTGCCGCTGGCGGCCGCGGCGCTGGTCTGCGCCGCACCGGCCGCACTCCGAGGCAGGGTCGGCACCGCGGCCACCGGGGCCCCATGCCGGACCAGGGCGTCCAGCAGCCCGGCACACTCGGCGCGCACGCGCGCACACGACCCGGTCAGTTCCTCGAAGTAGTAGCTGAGCGTCTTGTTGTCGGTGGCGCTGAGCTGCCGCGCCAGCAGGCTGGCCAGTGTGGCAAGGGCGGGTGCACGCTGTTCGGCAGGTCGTCAGCACGCCCGCAGGTGGCCAGGCGGGGGGAGGGGGGAGGGGGGAGGGGGGTCAGCCGAGCGGCGAGTATTTGACAGGGCCATGGGAAAGGAAGCACCACTGGCAGTGGCAGCAGCAGCAGCGGCAGCAGCAGCAAGGGTGCCCAAAATACAGTGCCCCGGTGAGCCCACTGAAAACGCACCCACTCCGAGGCGATGATGCATGCAAGTTCCTGCGAAAGGGCCGAGTGCGTGGAGTAGTCCCACACCAGCCACGAAACCATGGTGCTGGTGAGCGGCAGGGCACTGATGATGCCGCTGTCGCTGGAGGAGGGCACCGCCCCGGGGGTGTCATCTGCCGGCAGGTATGCCAAGCACTGGGAAAAGGCCACGGTGGCCTGGATGCGCCGAGCCAGGATAACTGTGGCGGCATCCTGGCCACCGATGTCCCCGCGCGAGGGATCCGCCGCACGGAGGATCTCGTCGGTCAGCCGGTCGACAATGATCGTCGGGCTAAAGAGGGGGAGGGGGGGGGGGGAGGGCCGGGGCGAGGTCAGTCCACGCCCATGCCATGTGTGCTTGTGGATCGGAGCGAGGCAGGCCGAGAGAGCGACAGAAAGGAAGAGGGAGGGGGGAGGAGGAGGGAAGCAAAAAGGGGAAGAGGGCCACCCTGGCAATGGAAGGCGCCCAAGGCATGGCCAACGCACGTCGGGGCCGCCTTCTTGGCACGCTTGGACCGCGAGGATGAGGCAGCGCCCTTGCGCCCGCGCTTGCGTGAAGTTGCCACCACCTCGGAATCCGAGTCCGAATCGCTGTCAGACTCGGCGGCGAGGACCACCGTGGTGCCGGCACCGGTCCCACCGCCAGCCGCCAGGCGTCGGCACTGGAGGAAGAGGGCCGGGTCAAAGAGCCGATCGATGGGCGAGTGCAGCAATCCCCGCCACAGGGCCAGCAGATCGTGCAGCAAGACAGGCACCCGGTCTTCCGGGAGATCCGTCCCGGCCAAGACACATTCCCAATCGGACATGGCCGGCGCCGTGAGCCCAGTCACAGGGGCCGGAGCGGCGGCGGTTTCCGGCCGGACGACACTACACCCGCGCGCCAGGAGCACCGGCATGCCCGAGGCCAGAAGCAAGCGCCAGACATAGGCATTCAC